ATTTAATACTGCATCTTCACATTTGCTTACGTTTCTCTCAACTGTGGAATGGTGCCATGTGTGGTCTCTGTGTGCACATTTTGATAAATGTTAAAAAATTTTTAAATTTTGTTTAATGTTTATTTATTTTTGAGAGAGACAGAGACAGAGAGTGAGTGGGGGAGGAGCAGAGAGAGAGGAAGACACAGAATCCAAAGCAGGCTCCAGGCTCCAAGCTGTCAGCACAGAGCCCAGCACAGGGCTCGGACTCATGGACCACAAGATCACGACCTCAGTCGAAGTCAGATACATAACCGACTGAGCCACCCAGGCCCCCCCAAATGTTAAATTTTTACAATAAATTTCTGTATATTTTATGATAGTAAATGCGTATTTACTGAAATACATGAAATCTGAAAATCCATGTATAAGTGGACCATGTGGTTCAAACCCATTGTTGTTCAGGGTCAATTGTATTTTTCAGATTTGAATGATTCAAGGTACTATAGCTCGTACCATCTGGGAGAATTACACCATTAGATATGGGTAAAGTCTCAAGTTTAATTTGTATTGAAAGTAAATAGAATATACTTCTTGGCTTTTAGGCAGCTCAGAGCTTCTTAAACCAATGAGAAAATATCTGCCTATTTAGCTAATGCAAGAAAGCAAAGATTGAATTAAGAAGGGCTATTTCACAAAATAAAGACGTTCCATAGATATTTTTTTTTCCTTATTTAACTTTTGTCGTGATTCTGTTTATAGTAGTTTGGTTTGTTGAGGAGCATTTGCACTTGTTAGGAATTACTATCCTTTGTTGCCAGATGTCCAGTCTATAAAACCATAACTTTAATATCTTGTCTATTCCTTTCATTGTTTCCAATATGAAAGATAATTCCATCCATATTCTTCTATTTTGGCCAGAAGGGGAAATCCTGATCTCTGTCCTCTAAATTTGTTCTTAGTGGTCTTGACATTTTTGTCACCATAATCAGACCATCTGAATCTTTGAGAACTTTCTTTATCTTACTCAGTATAGTAACCCTTGCTGGCTTCACTAGCATGACTATCCACTTTGCACTCAGAGTTAATTAAGTTATTGTTTTCTTAGTGTCCTAAGACACTAGGACACTACTTTATAGCTTTTGACCTGAGTGCCCTATCATTCCTCAAGTTTTTATCTATATTAGATACCTGTTTTTAATCGCTTCAAATGCCACTTGGCCCTACCTCTTACTTCAGTCATTGTTCTCTTTCCTGAAAGCCTTGAGGAGCTTTGCATAAATACAGTTTTATTATGTTTTGCCTCAGCTTGGAACCTCATGCCACACTTTTAAGTTTCTCTTCTGCTCTGGCGCACCACTAGAGTCGTGGCACAGGATGCAGGAATCTGCTCTAAAGTCAAGAGCGCACAGCCAAAATGTGCAGGAGTTAATGACTCTGGAGGCTACCCTGGATCAGCTGAGTGAGACTGATGATGAAAAATTGCTTTCCTCTTTAATCCCTCAGATTGACTCAGACTCAGGAGGTGTCTGGAGGATTGAGCACCAGCCACCCTGAAGGAGTGAAGGCTGTAGCTCTATCACACAGCCTTGTATTGGCTCTTCCTCCTTCCCTGAAATGCCGCTGTCACAATCCTTTCTTGATACTCTCTCCTTGACCACTCTATCCTCTTTGGTTTCTATGCTACTGGTAATTGTAGAAAACAAGAAAAAAATTGGTTTGGCGAGATCTAGTAAATCATACCATCCTACCCTAAATGGATTCTTTTTCTGCCAAGTGATCCAACTGGTTATCTTGTATAACATTGCTGATTGAACCTTTCATGTGTTCATCCTCAAGACTGGCCTACTTCATTCTCAATACCTATTCTACCTGAGTTGTTGAGAAGTATAGGACTACACAACTGGCTTCCACATTTTCTTTGGTCTGCATTTCAAAACAGTTTTCAATGGGTTCTCCTCTTTATAGAAAAAATTAGAAAGACATCTTTAATCCACCTCTACTACTTTCCAGTGTGAGAAAAGCCATCAACTCTTCTTATAGTTAATTTCTCCAACTGTGCTTTTGATGACATCCAATCCTCCCATCCTTTTCTTACCAGTCTATCCATGCCTTCTTTTACAGATCTTTCCTGTAATGGAAGAAAACAAAACACAAACCCAAAATACTTTTTTTTTTTTTACTTCATCATTATTCCTATTAACTATTAACTTTTCTTGCTTTTCTCATTCAAAGGAACATTTATTGAAACAGTACTCTATTTTATCACATATTTGTTCCTTAAGCCCTGACAACCTAGTTCCAGTCTTTATCATTCCTTGGAAACCACCATCTTAAAGGTTAATGAAGAATAAAACAGTCATTATCCCTCAGAGCCTTTCCTCAGTTATCATCTTTGATCATATTCCAGTACATTCCAATAAATGTCAGTATTCTTTTATGAAATTGTAAAAATTTCCACCTATCTATTCTTTCTCTTTACATTCTCTAATTATTGTCTTATCCACCCTCCAGAGCTCTCTGTGGAGAGCAGACTCTGATCCATCTCTCACACCCCAGTTTATATTATTGCTCACTTCTTATTGTTTATTACTCTCGGACAATGAGTTGGACCTCAAAGTTAGTTGCTCTAAAATGGAGATTATCATTCCCATTTACTTCCTACTTACCTCAGCTCTTCTTTCTAACTTTCTTGTTTTTGAACAATAGTACTTTTCTTTAAGGCACCAATGGATTTCTACTCCTCTTTGCATCTCCAATACTTGAGAAAGGGAAAACAGGCACTCTGATTTATATACATTAACTCATTTAATCTTCATAGCAATTCACATTTTGTACATAAATAGACTAAGACCCAAAGTAGTCAAGTGAGTTGCCTAATGTCTCAGAGCTGCCGAGGGATGGGAACTATATCTGCTGGATACTAAAATTCATATACTTTTCATTGTGTAACAAAACAGTCACTCTTATTTTTTTTTGTCATAGTTTTGTTTTTATTTATTTATTTTTTTTACAAATAGTTCATTGTCAAATTAGTTTCCACATAACACTCAGTGCTCATCCCCACAAGTGCCCTCCTCCATGCCCATCCCCCCCTCCCCCCCACATCCATCAGTCCTCAGTTTTTGTCAGCATTCAAGAGTCTCTCATGGTTTGCCTCTCTCCCTTTCCCCCACCATTTCCGCCCTTCTTCTCCCCCTTGTTCCTCCGTCAAGTTCCTCCTAATCCTCCTATACGTGCAAACATATGATATTTGTCCTTCTCTGCCTGACTTATTTCGCTCAGCATAACACCCTCAAGGTCCATCCATGTTGCTACACGTGGCCAGATTTCATTGTTTCTCATTGCCATGTAGTATTCCATGGTACAGATAAACCACATCTTCTTGATCCATTCATCTGTTGATGGACACTTAGGCTCTTTCCATGTTTTAGCTATTGTGGAGAGTGCTGCTATGAACATTGGGGTACATGTGCTCCTATGCATCAGCATTTCTGTATCCCTCGGGTAAATTCCTAGCAGTGCTATTGCTGGGTCATAGGGGAGTTCTATTGTTAGTTTCCTTAGGAACCTCCACACTGTTTTCCAGAGGGGCTGCACCAGTTTACATTCCCACCAACAGTGTAGGAGGGTGCCCGTAAAACAGTCACTCTTAAACAGCATTATATACTGAATCCTCAAAGAAATACTCAATTATGTTTTTGCTATTGTATTTATTAAGGAAGGAAAGCATACAAATACATTCGGAAAGAATATGAACCTTCTTCAACAGAGTTGAAAATAATAGACTTTGTGTTAAACTTTGTGTTATTAAAATGCTGTTTTAACCAGAAGAAGCTCTTTCTCAGTTTTCTCAATTCATCAAGGTTGTGTTACATATTGAACAGGGTGGTTGTGAGGGTGCCTGGGTGGCTTAATTGGTTAAGTGTCTGACTTCAGCTCAGGTCATGATCTCACAGTTTGTGGGTTCAAGCCCTGCGTCGGGCTCTGTGCTGACAGCCAGCTCAGACCCTGGAGCCTATTTTGGATTCTGTGTCTCCCCCTCTCTCTGGCCCTCCCCTGGTCACGCTGTGTGTGTCTCTCTCTCAGAAATAAATAATAATAAAAAAACCATTAAACAGGGTGGTTGTGTTACACACTAAACTGGGTGGCTATATTAAATACTAAACTGGGTTTATTTCACTAATGTCTTTCATATTGAGTTCAGAGTTGGAAATAGTTTTTTTTTTTTTTTCATTCATGTTATTCATTGGATATTTGTCAGTGTTAACAATCAAAATCTTTACCTATTGAGCTTCAGAACTAAATCAAGTTTGATAACTGGGACAGAAGAATCTAAAAGTAAAGGGGGGATCAATAGTGACAGTTTGTTAATAGTGAAGACATGTCCTTTGAGTAGACAAAGTGGGAAATTACATGATAGCCTGTAAGTATGGATTATACTCTGGGCAAAGGATGTGCCATCATTAGGCAATTGCACACTGAACAACTGTCGGTTAAGTACCATTTTATCCAATTTAGACCTAATGAACTTAGTAGATGAGATCCCTGCTGAATTAAGGAGCAATCAAAGCCTCATCTTGGATTCTGTGCCATCTAGGTCAAGAAGTTCCTAAAGTGCGGTGTATTCCTTGGTACAGGAAAGAGATAACTTTCTTATCCTTCCTTCTGGTTAAGTCTTTAAGAAATACTTATGGAATATGATTTGTGCCATAGAAAGTATCATTTGGTGATTGGTAGATAATGATGTAACAGAAAACTTTTCTTTGCCTTTCAGGAGTTTTAGTTCCATTTTTTTCTAATTTTTCTAAGCTACTCTGAATGACATTTTTTAAATCAAAGGGATAAAAAGAATTTTGTTCGATTCTAAAAGCAAAGTAACTCTCTCCCCTAGCAAGAAGGTTGCCAAAAAGTCGTCAATAAAAGGGATAAGGAATGAAGATGTGAGGATGTGTTTTGTGTACTCAATCTCACCTATGTCAGAGGTGCAATGACACTGTGGTTTTATTTGGCACTTTCAGGAAGGGGTCCGGATCATCCTTTGACAGGAGGTGCAAAAGATGTGTCAGAAGAAGCCCATGTCTGCCTACCCTGCAGGGAGGGCTGCCCCTACTGTGCTGATGACAGCCCCTGCTTTGTCCAGGAGGATAAGTATTTGCGACTTGCTATCATCTCCTTCCAAGCCCTGTGTATGCTGCTCGACTTCGTTAGCATGCTGGCGGTCTACCGCTTTCGCAAAGCAAAGGTAAACTCAGGTACCCTGGTTATGGACTTCCTTTTTATTGTGAAGTGACTTCTCCTTTTTTCGGGAAAGCTGAGTTTTTCCAAGCCCCAGTTCCCTCTCTGGTTAGCAGAAGTCCTCCTATATAATTAGACTAGAGTATGAACATTATATTCTTTAGCTTCCTCAGAGAAGTAGGGTTTAAAAATATGGAAACTTATTATAACATTTTCTTCTTCAGAATGCTTCCCCCTATTTAGTGTGGAGCTTGAGTACTTTTTTTTTTTTTACCTTAAAGGACTCTCTTTTCTATCTCTTTGGCTTCTAGAAGAACTTATTCTGCTAGAAGCCAATGCATTGTTAATTTTTTCATATCTAGAAAGCCTTTTGATATTTATTATGTTCCGTTTTTACTTCTCTTAGCCATTGGCAAATGGACCTGACTATTTTTGAGCACATTATACTTTGAAGAATAAATTTATTCATGACCTTATATTTAGTCTTGCATTAGTATCCCAGGATAATAGTGATCCTGCAAAGAGCTAATATGGCTTTTGAGTGAGCCTGCCCTTTGGTTCTGTTCTAAGAAATCAAAGAACAGTATAAACAGTTGTATGCTCCTTAGTCAGGGGTGGAGGAAATGCTAAAATGTCACAGTAAACCTTTCCGGGAAGCTGTCTTCAGTTGGTCACCCAATGAATTATATGTAGCCAGTGTTGTCAGAATTTGTGGTTTTGTCGCTTTCAGAAAATTATTTGTTCTATTGGGGGGAAAAAACCCATGGAGCCTAAAGTTTCCAGCTTTTCTGAATTCAAATGACCCCGTCGTGTTAGCAAAGTTGTACACATTGGTTTAGATAACTGAGCTTACCAGAAGCATAAAGTGTCACCATACCATGGAATACTACATGGCAATGAGAAACAATGAAATCTGGCCATGTGTAGCAACATGGATGGACATTGAGGGTGTTATGCTGAGCGAAATAAGTCAGGCAGAGAAGGACAAATATCATATGTTTGCACGTATAGGAGGATTAGGAGGAACTTGACGGAGGAACAAGGGGGAGAAGAAGGGGGGAAATGGTGGGGGAAAGGGAGAGAGGCAAACTATGAGAGACTCTTGAATGCTGACAAAAACTGAGGACTGATGGATGTGGGGGGGTGGGGGGATGGGCATGGAGGAGGGCACTTGTGGGGATGAGCACTGGGTGTTATGTGGAAACTAATTTGACAATAAACTATTTGTAAAAAAAAAAAGAAAGAAATTTTTAAAAATTGTTTAAAAGCAACTCTCTGTGAATGGCATCTATTACAAGGCCTTGAGTTAACATTAAAAAAAAAACCCTCTATTGAGAGTCTAGGAGAATGTATCCATTATGTTAATGGTACAGACTTTAATGGTTATTTTAAATAGACAGTTTCATTAACAGAAGCATACAGCACAAATTAAAATTGGGCTTTTGAGTCAGCCAGAAAGTGCAAATGGGCAAATTGCTCTTCATTTAACCAATACTGTCTTTCTTTTGCAACAAAATATGTGTTAAAGTGTATATGTAATAAAGAAGCAGGCAAGTGGAGTTGAGAAATATCTAACCACTGTTACGTAGATAACATTCATCTGTTTTGTTTTTTTTTTAAAAAAAACCTATCACTGGCAGAGCAGGTAGAATTGAAAGGTCTATTTAATAAACTGCTCTGAAATCTCTCTATATAATGTAATTCATTTACACAGGTGATAACAGATAGTTCTTTATGAATTTTAATTGATTGTAATCATTAATGATTGCAGTGCTAAATGGAGTTAATGACATATAATGGGTAGGATATTACATTGTGTATTAAGAAATCTGAGATAGTTCTTATTAGACCAATGTCTTGATCTATGGTAATGTTACTTAACATTTCCAAAGTTACTAACCCTTCAAATGTCTTTGGATCATATGAAATGCTACTTTATAAGGCTTTCATGAGAATTGATATCTTCGTGTATCATTTGGTGAAATTTCTATAGCTACAAACTAGTTAGAATAAGTAAATTAGGTATTATCTAGTTTTAAGATGGTCTTTTGAAGAATCAGTTTTCACAGAATGTGACAGAATATAAGGGGGAATATTTTTAGGGAATAATATAGGTTAATATAGTCAGTGAACACAGATCTAGTATTCTGAAGAAAGGAAACATTTGGTGAACTTTTCTCTTCTGATTTCAGTTACCAAAAAGAATGATGAATTGTGAAAGCATAAAACCATTTCCAGTGTAAAGATGGCATGTTTATAGCACGTAGATATTGGCTCTGCTTTTTTAAAGTTCTCTTGTAACTTTACAGCATTTCTTTTGCTGTAAGGAATGCTATGCTGTAGGAAGGATAGTTTCACTTAATTGGTCTCAGTTTAAAAAAAAAAAGATGTTTTGAGTACCCATTCTCCACAAGTGTTCATTCATGTACGCATATGCAATTACACAAGTATTTCTATACTGATAATCATCTTTAAAAAGCATTTACTATGCATTTATTTATATGTGGTTTTTTATATTTATCTCTATCATTGACCTTTCTAGGAAGGTTCCAACTTCTGCCTTCAAAATGAGAGTCACAGAAATCTTGAGAGATTCTCAGTTGTGAAGTCATGGAATGCATGCTCCCTGTTGTATTATTGCAACAGTAACAGTCTAAAAGCTGACCAATTTGTTACTAATTTCCTGGTTTTTATTTAGAAAGATGACAAAATATGAGAACTAGAATGAAACAACCCCTCTTTTTATAGAAAAAACCCAGTCTCTGAGAGACTGTCAGTTGCCCAAAGTAACCCATCTAGGTTGGGGTATTTATATATTTATATTTTGTCTTATACCAGCACTCAGAATAAAAATTAATATTTTATTTTTATTAGAAGATTAAAAGTTTTAACGGATTGAGGTTCAGTGAAAAAATCGGGTAGAATAAGTTAGTTGAAATCAAGGGAATGATTCCATGAGGGCAAGCATACTGTTTTAGCCTGTTGCTAGAAAGAACTTTCCGGGGTTTTGTAGCAACAATTTAAAGAGGAGAGAAAAAAAGTGAGTTAGGGTTCATAAGATAACAACTCACCAGTCACTCAGATGAAACTTGAATATGCCTGTCATTAAGTCTGTAGAGGTGTTTTTCCTGTGGGTTCTTAAATAGAAAATATTGTTAAATTTATTGGATGATAAATATCTTTACAGGAAATAGATATAATTTTCATTGCTTTATTTGTTAATTTTTCTGATATTGTGTTAAAGTGTTAGTGTTTAAATATAGCATAGGCAAATCAGTTCTGTAGAGGTATCATAAATGTGGTACCTGACACCATGTTCTTTGCTATCTATCATTAACGCAAAGATACCTTTGGAATATTTGGATGAGAGTTGGCCAGTGTGCATCACACATGTCATCACTACAAGGCAGTGATAGATATGTTTGGTCCTCTTTCCCATTTTATCCAGAATTAGCCTCAGATCCCATCTCATCAAGCAGGACTCTAAGCAGGTTCTATGTATGAAATCTGTTTACCATCCTGGATCTAGAAAAATGGGAAGACTTCACATTCATCAGATAGATGTTCCTAAATATTGTTGTTTGTTCCTGAGTTTTCAAAAGGTATTCAAGGGGTGACTCCAACTTCGAGGTGTCAAGATTGGATGGCAGCTTCTCCATATTTCTATTGAGTGGGAAGCTATGTGCTACAATATAATAGTGAGTCAAGCTGGTGACAGAAGTAATAGGCAGTAATGACGGCTGAGGCATCTACTCAGACATCTACCTGTAGAAGTTAGAATCTGAGACTTAACGCTTATTTTCCTGTTTCTCCAGCATGTGAACCATATTCTTTCTTCCGGTTCCACCAGAATTTATGTTATATAACATCTTAAATGCTTTTAGTATATAGAATATATTTCATTTAGCACCTGTTAGAAATGGATCATTTGAGAACTTAGGCCTCTTTTTTTATTAGACTATTTCTGTGAATTGACAGAAATAACCACATTCACAGATCAAAAATAGAAAAAGTGACGGCAACATCAAACCCAACAGCTGATCATGTATATCTAGACCGCATGCAAATGTACTGTCATGGCAATAGAAAAAAGTTCTAAAGTGTTCTAAAATGAAGTATTAGGAGATATAAGGTGATATAGAAATTTGTCTTTAGTTACACTGCTTCTCCTGGAAAGTCTAATTATAAGTACATTTAGTTAAATGAGGTTTACCCTTGGGGCGCCTGGGTGGCTCAGCCGGTTAAGCGTCGGACTCTTGATTTCATCTCAGGTCGTGATCTCATGATTTGTGTGTTCGTGCCCTGCTTTAGGCTCTGCACTGACAGTGCTGACTGAGCCTGCTTGGGATTCTTTCTTTATCTGTCTCTCTCTTGCTCGCTCAAAAAATAAATAAATAAAAAGTTTTAAAAAATAAATATACTGCATATTAAATACTTTGAAATTATTTCTACTTTTTTTAAGTGTTTGTTTTTGAAGGAGAAAGAGTGTGAGCGGTGGAGGAGCAGGGAGAGAGAGGGAGACACAGAATCTGAAGCAGGCTCCAAGCTCTGAGCTGGCAGCACAGAGTCAGATGTGGGGCTCAAACTCACCAGCCGAGAGACCATGACCTGAGCTGAAGTCGGTTGCTTAACTGACTGAGCCACCCAGGTGCCCCTTTCTACATTTTTAAACAAGTAATATGACAAGTAACATATTTTATTTTTTTAATTGTTAAAAATAATAAATAATTATTATATAATTATATAATAATAAAAATAATAAATAAGTAATGTTTTATTTATTTCTGAGAGAGAGAGGGAGACAGCATGAGCAGGGGAGTGTCAGAGAGAGAGAGGGAGCTGGCAGCACAGAGCCCGATGCAGGGCTCCAACCCACGAACCGTGAGATTATGACCTGAGCCAAAGTTGAACGCTTAGCCAACAGAGCTACCCAGGCGCCCCATCAAGTAACATATTTTCTATTAGCTATTCTAAAGAGAGCGTATGGTTCCTTACAGCTTAATAATG